ATAACTGGGAGCTGAGAAGACCGGGCCGGTCCAGGAGCGACAGGAAGGCAGTATGTGCAATGTTCTCTGGACACTGCTTTTTCCTATAAACAAGCACACATTCATTCAGCTCCCCTTTCCCCAGAGCGTTTGGATGGGTGAGACTCTTGAGCACCCAACTCCCTGTATAGGTTTCTGTTATTTTTAATCTCCAAACACCAGAAACAAAGTAAAACCAGAGGCACCTATTCATCAGGACACCAAAGACTGAATGAAAGCCTGGTATTCAGAGGTTTCCCACGCTATCCTAGTGCAGGAATCCCTTCATTAGCCAAAATGGCGTTAAGAGATGAAGCAATTACCATTATTTTTTAAAAAATATATTTTTATTGATTCCAGAGAGGAAAGAAGAGGGAGAGAAAGATAGAAACATCCATGATAAGAGAGAATTATGGATCGGCTACCTCCTGGCATGCAGGCAATGCCCCGCACTGGGGGGATTGAGCCCACAATCCGGGCATGTGCCCTTGACCAGAATCGAACCTGGGGCCTTTCAGTTCGCAGGCTAACGCTCTATCCACTGAGCCAAACCGGCTAGGGCTATATAGAAAAAATTTTGAGCATTCTCAGCCCCAAAATATAACCTACCCAATCATGCCAAATATCCTTACTTATATCCTGTTTTACACCAAATGCAACACTCTTTTAGGTGCTCTCTGAGACTTTTCTGATACCTTGGGACACATCTTACTAATGATGCACAAAACAAATCAAGATGAACTACAGATGCTCAGCGCTGTGGCACTTTGCCCTGTCGGTCTGTCTAGTGGTTAGAGTGGTGGCCGTCGGACCAAAGGGTCGCAGGTTTGATTCCCAGTCAAGGGCAGGTATCTCAGCTGCAGGCTTGCCCCCGGATCCTGTCCGGACTTGTGTGAGAAGTAACCAATAGATGTTTCTCTCTCCCTCACCCTCCCCTACCACTCTCTAAAAAAACCAATGGAAAAAATAGCCTCATTCCTTTTCTCTGGATACTGGCTTAGGTGAGGACTTTTTAAAAAGCTAAGGTAACTTAATGCTGAGATGCTGACTGTAGTTCCTGGGGGAGCTTGGTGGCCACTCTCACCGCTCCATCCTTCCCCCGCTGCTCAGGGACAGGCCGCCTCTATCAGCTCATTCACTGAAAAACAAATGCTGAACACTATTCTATTCACTTTTTGCCTTTTTTTCATAAAAGCAAAAAATCCTCTTCTGATTTCTTTCAGTTAGCCAAAGCAGGTATTGTTTACAGGGTGCAAAAAGGGTTCCCTGTACCTGGAGCTGAGCCAATGAAAAGGAAAGCCTCTTTAGGTGCCAGTCACTTACCTGGTCAGCAAAGCGAGGTCTCAGTGCCCTCACTGACTTCCCTGCATCCATCCTGTGAGAATGGGACAAACCACACGGTCCGGCCCAGAGGGAGGCCGGCCCCCAATCTTCTTGGGCAGTGGCCAGGGGACCCTTGGAAATGGGCTCGGATGTCTCGAAGAGGAACCCAAGGCTTTCACAGAGAATGGGAAGACACCGTAACTGGTGACCTCAGAGAAACAAAGAACTGGACCCGGGGCTCCTGACCTCCTCTCCCCATTAACTTACCTGACCCCACTTATTGGTAAAAAAACAAGTCTTCACTGCTCTGTTCCTTTTCATTCAGAAGACAAGAGGCATGTGTTCACACGTTCAAAATAAAAGCCCAGCTTTCATCGTGATTGGCATATGAATTAAAAGTAATGAAAAAAGTTCCCCCAGCCACATGACCTCAGAAGGGGCGGGGCCTGTACCAAGTTTGAGTATATCTGGGGGTGGAGGTGCATCAGGAGGCAAGATATTCAGTGGATGGAGTTAGAGGTCAAAGTGACTTGTTTTGTACAATATCTATCAAGAAAACCACCAAGGGCGTTTCTGTTTGTCTCCTTAAAGCATGTGTGTGCATGAAAATCTTTAGGGGGGCACCAGGACATTCAAGCCGCAGAACTTTTGTAAACTGGGCAGGGCAGGCCATCCTTCCCCACCTCCACCACTTCCTACTTTGAACTTTGCTGTCCATCTGTTACAAATACTCGCCCGTGGTGGGAGGGCTCCCCAGAGGAGGAATTAGCAGCACCTGGCAGGGTTCAGTTTCCTCAGCAAGAGAAGCTTCCTCCAGGGGTGCGAGGGACCGCCCCAGCCAGGACCCCTTTGTGTCCCTTTGTTCTGCCAGGGCGTGGGGACACAGTCCCATCTGGTGAGTGTTCTTCGACAAACACGGGGCCTTGCTGGGCAAGATGCAGGGACACGAACATACAAACACACGAGAAACGACAGTCCTGTGTATATTTAACAATATATATTTATATATATTTTCTAAATCAGTACATTCAGTTTTAACTTGTTTTTTCTTCACAAACAGAAGAACTCTTACAATAGTAGACTTTCTAAAATAAATACTATTAAAATAGAGCTTCAAAATAAATATTCTATACAAAGGGGACCTTCTGTGGTAACTTTGTTGTGGGGTGAGAAGGGGCTACAGTGAGGGTGGGGATAAGTCAGAGGTGAAGTGGGATGGGAACCTCGGACAGCTTTCCTGTTTGTAACAGGAAACCAAACTGCGGCAGTGAGAAGCGAAAGCGAGATCAGACACCACACGGAGTCACCCACAGCAAGAATGGCAGCGCAGGAATTGTCATCAACCGTCACAGTAAGCAGGGCATGAAAATGCTTACCGAAGGCATGAGCCGGAAGGCCGGGGGCGTGGGCGGGACGCCCTAGGGAACGGAATTGTACAGTGCGGAGTGGTGCTGCCCGCACCCCGCTGGGTGTCTCCTGGGGCAGCATGGGAGAACATGGAGCTTCAAGGTGACAAGCTTCGGGATGCTGGTCCCAACCAACACTTTCTGTGTTGTGCCACCTTGGACAAGTCATTGTCTATCTAGGTCTCCCTCGATGCACAGCGGGGACCCACGCAGACTTCAGAACGCTGAGAGGACCAGGCGAGCCACGTGGTCATCTGTCAGGAGGAACTGGTCTCCGCCTCCTTCCAGCTGTCCAAGCCTTGGCTGTGCAGTCATGGACTTGAGAGGGCTTTGCTGTCCTAGACGTTTCCCAGGGCGCTTGCTGAAGCGTTGGGCTTCCACAAACCGCCCTTGGGGTCGGGGGGAGCACCAAGGCCCCCTAGGACGAGTGTCCTGGACCCAGGCTTGTGCCCCCACCTCCAGGCAGAACCATCACCCACTCCGGGTTGAAGAGACGTGGAAACCAGCTGGCATTTCTCAAAAAAGATCAAGACGAGGACTAATTCAGCCAAGCAAGCCATTGGTGACAGGAAACACTATCAGCCGGGGCGGCCCCAGGAATGTGTCCTGTTACTGAGCTGGGTCCCTTGGTGGCTCCTGACTGGTCCACAGAAAAACAGTTTTCTTGTGTTTGTTTTTCCAAGAAGCCGAGAAAAAACATGCTGAGGGACTGCAATGCAACAGAGCTGGGTGGGGGACCAGGCTGTCCGCTCCTCCCTTCCCCCCCGGGAGCACACAGTACACCGAGAGCTCTGCAGACATCCACCTAGCAGGTTAAATGCAAACTAAAGAGTAAGCCAAAACAGGGAGAAAAAAAGGAAAAAGAAAACCAAAATCCAGAAAAATCTGTTTACAACTATGTACACAAAAAGTCAGGGTTCAGGAGGCTGTTTGCCAGAAACAGGGTCTATGTAGAGAGAGGGTGGGAGGGGTAGGTGTGTGTGTATACACAGCTTATATAAATCAATTCTCCACAGAACGGGTGTGCAGAACACCATCACCAAAGTGCAACTTGCCACCGGGTCAAGTTTCCCATGGAGACATCAGAGGGAGGGGCTCTGGGAACGTTCCGAGGCCTCCCCAAGAGCGGAGGTGTGCCCTCTCGTTTTAGGGGTAACCTATTCTGAGGAAAACACCTCCAGTCTTCCGTACACGTCTGATACATTCAATTAGCGTAAGTGGTTGGCTGAATGTGTTTTTTCCCTACCATCCCCTCCATTTGTGCAAGAACATCCATACATCCATCACAACTGTGGCACGGGTAGCTACGTGAATCAGCCATAGAAAACGCAGATGCAGTATTTCCTATTTGCCTTTTACAAGCTAGCAAATGTTATATAAATAAAGCCTTTTAAAAATAATAAGACCCTCCCCTCCTCTCCGCCCATCAATAAATACCTATGGTTACAATTAACTTATTCTAAAATCATAAGATGTTACTACTAGTCTTCAAGGGGGAGGGGAAGTTCTCGAGAAGCGCTGGGTGCACCCAATCACAGCTACGCGCCTCCTCCCATCCTTCCTGGAGGCCGTTTGTGTTCCTCCAGGACAAACTGGAAATGCGACAAGCGCTCTACACCTACTGCACTTCCAGTTTCCCCTGGGGTGGCTTTTCTGACCCAGGCCACTTCCTCTTGGGGGGGGGGGGACACACACAAAATACCACATGAAGCAAGAACCCCGCACAACACTAGGGAGAAGGACCAGACACCACAGCGCCTGCATGCAACAAGTACCTACCCACTGGACGTGCTGCACTTTCCGAGTTCTTTAGCACCTTGAGAGAAAGAGTTGCTACGTCTTGGGGGGCTGTCGGGAGGGGGTGGCGTGGCCATGCACGGAAGCAGGGCTCAACCCCAAGAAGCCCCTGGAGAATCTTCCCCCCACCCGTCTTCTTCTGACTCCCCCACCAGGGCTTCCTAACACTAAAATAGACTCTTCTTTTCCATCCTCTGTCTATTTACATTAAAGATACAGACACATCACTGTACATAAAAGGCTATGACAGCAAGCAGCAGAATCAGAAGAGAAGAAACCGGCACCCATCTCGGCTCCGCTGTCCCTCTGCCAATGCGAGGTGCTGTCTCTCTTCTTTGCTGTTAAAATCCTCTTCTTGTTGGGGAGGGGGATTGTGTTCCTTAAGGTTGCTCGCCCCCCCAGATTTTGAAATCAGCCCTTCCTGGGGGTGGCCCAAAAGGAAGCAAGTGTTTGATGATTATTTTCTAAAACACCGTTAGCATCTGGTTTAATGACTCTATAAAAACACAATGACCGGGTCTAGAGACCACAGCCTCAGACTCATTGGCAAAATGGTATTTGGTCTTGCATTCGCCGCACTGGGCTTCTCGACCCATCAAGTTTCTGGGAAGGATCTGGGTGGAGAGAACTCAGGACAAGAAGCAGGCAGGCGAGTCTGTGACCCAGTGAGAAACGCAGGACGGTGTTAAGAGCGCAACAACCCCACGAGGGATGGAGTTGGAAGGGAGAGGTGCTCTGTGTAGTGGCTCCTGAATCCATCCGAGGCTCCGGGAGACAGAGAGAGGGAGCGAGGCCTGGACTCGCTGGCCGACCTCTCTTGTCGAGGGCTCCCAAGTATATACAACAGGGACTGCCAGCCAGGGTCCACACCTTCCCCAGGATGTCAGGCAAGCCGTGGGGTCGGGGAGGAGAAAAGATACAGCCATCAAGACTGCACGGTTGTCTTCAAAGGTCCCTTGGCCACTCTGTTACGGGTTCCTCCCAGGCAGCTAAAAAGAATGGGAAAGGGGGGAGGCAGGGAAGGAGGCGGGAGAGCTGGGAAGGCAGTCAAGCAGCTGCAACTTCCGGCTGTGTGGCCACATCTGTCTTCTGGAAAAGAAGAACCTTCCCCCCACCACCCCGAAGCACACCATGCCCCTGCCGCTGTCTGTTTCACACCAAGTTCCAGGACCCGCAGAAAACCCACAGTGCTGCTGCTTCCTCTTGGGGAAGACAGTGGGTGAGGGGGGGAGTCTCTGTTTCTTCCGAAGCTGGGGTGGCAGCCTGGCAAGGTCACCTCTGATGCCAGAACCTCTGGCCTCGCTGCAGTCTTCTCAGGTGTCAGGAGGGAACCCAGTTCCCAGGGGAGCGCGTGGGGCTTTGACCCAAATGTCAGAAAGGCTTGTCGGGTCTGCTGGCCTGGGCTTCGCCAGCGGCCGCCTTGCAGATGACGCTGTTCGTGTGCTTGCAGCGGCAGCCGGGGCGGCGCAAGCGGTCGTAGCCGCGCTGGGCCAGCTTCACGCAGCCGGTGGCGGGCAGGTAGCAGAGCAGGCAGGGCAGCACCAGGGAGAGGGCGCCCATGAAGGACCAGCGGGCGCAGCAGTTGGAGCGGGAGCAGGAGCAGGGGTGGTCGGCGCAGGAGCCCTCATCGTCCTCGTTGGTGCAGTGGTAGAAGACCCCTTGCACCAGGCACATGCAGGTGCCGTAGTTGACCAGGGTCTGGGCGGAGCACAGGCACTCCTGGTTGCAGACCCAGCACGAGGGCAACGTCCGGGGCGCCGCGCACTCCTTGCACTTGCACTTCCCGCAGGCCTCGCACAGCAGGAAGTGCTTGTCCAGCTCGGGGGGCGCTGCGGGCCCCTTGAGGTCCAGCGGCTTGCAGTGGATGGCCTTGGGCTGGATGCGCACAGCCCTCGGGGAGGCCTGGTCAGCCACGGGGGGCGGCGCCATGTGGTCTAAGAGCCTCTGGTCGGAGGACGTGCTGCTGCTGCTGCTCACGGAGCTGGGGCGGCCACTGAAGGAGATCCAGTGGTGGGTGACGTCCTGGTCACAGCGGGCAGGCGTGGAGGCCGGCTCCGGGGCGCCACCCCGGGTCCGCTTGGGGCCGGTGGGGGGCGCCAGGCCAGGATTGTCGATGTAGTCGTTCTCCACGTGGCTGGTCTTCATCTGGTCGATGGGGAGGATGGTGAGTGGGTGCTGGAGCCGGCTGTGGGGCACGCGGCTGTCGAGAAGGGGCTGGACCATGACTGAGCTGGGAGTCAAGGGGGCGGTCTGTGGGATCGGGGGCTCCATGGGGCTGGAGGTCCTGGACAGCACTGAGAAACAGGCTTCTAGGGGCCCTGGGGGTGGGGGGAGGAAGAGAGAATGGATTCCAGGCGTCAGTGTTTGGCCTGTTAAGACCCCCGTCCCCATCAGGTGCTTGGGAGCCCAAATGAAATGGGAACTGGTTTCCTTTGGTGGAATCTCCAGAATTAAGGCTTAGATGATTAATAATGACAACAACAGCAATGGTAAGTGGTAGGAATTACACTTATTTAGCTCTTTACAAGTACCATGAGTATCAAGTCACTGACTCTTCACAATAACCTTGAAACACTCCTACTATTATTATCTCTGTTCTAGTCACAGGAACCTAATGTTCAAAGTAATTGGCCCATAATCGCACAAAACCATCAGTAGCAGAACCAGGACTCAAACCTGAGTTCGTTCTTGTAGTCCCTGCGAACCATGCTCCTCATTTAAGACAGATCGCTCGATGGTGATAAACACAGGCTCTGGAATCGGATCCCAGTTCGAATCCTCCCTTCTGTGCCTAACAGTGTTGCCACGAATGAGGTTCTTTAACCTCTATGCCTTAGTTTTGCCAACTGTAAAATGGGTTCCCGTGAGGATTACATGAGAAAATGGACATCCAGTCCCGAACATCTTGCCTGGCATACAGCAAGTGCTCCGTAATTCATCACCCTCCCAGAGCGCAACAGTGTGGGTTTCCTGAACACTGTTCAGCACAGCGAGCCAAGCATTGTGCTTGAGGATGTGGTGACCACGAGAGAGACAGCCCCTGTGTGCTCCCGTCAGGTTTATCAGCTGGATAAACACAGCCTTTATTTCAGTCACAAGAGAAGGAAGGGCCGTATCTGATGCCTGCACGTCCAGGATATTAACTTATTACCAGCACTTCTAAGAGCAGCAACCTCCAGCGGCTAATAACCCAGGGGTAGGCGAGCTTCTGACAACTTGGATGGGAAATCCTCTCCAGGGGCACTCACGTCGCCCATTTCCAAGCGCTGAGCTGAACATCCAGCCTAAATGCTATTTACTAGAATAGCTAAGCCAACCCTGGATCAGTTTCTAATTTCACCGAGAGAGTGCAATTTTAAGTTGGAATCCTGCCAGAGATTCAACTGCAGGGCCTGACACGGAACCCCAGGAAGTCACTTAAATCAAAGAGCGGAAACGGCTTGGTTCAAATTTAGAAAGTGCACATTGTTTTCTATTAGAAGTGCCATTTCCTCGCCTGCTGACCTTTACATTCGGAATTCGGCTGGAGATCAATTTAAAGAAATAGCAGCAGAAGGCCAAGACCTCTGCCCAAGGGGACATGATTTGGAATCCAAGAGAAAGATTAGACTCTGGGAAGATTCCACTGGGGGTGGGGGGTGGGAGACAAAACAGGGTGTGCAGACAGAAGGGAGATATAATCATCTTTTAGAAAAAAGCGGG